TCTTTGCAAGCCGTGCTGAAGTCGGTACGAGCTGCAGGTGCTTGATGCTTTGGGATGTTTTTACATCTTGAGCCAAACCCAATTTGAGCCAGAACTAATCATTTAGGTCCCACCTTAAAGTCAACGGAGAGAAGCAAGCACTGCTGGAGTGCAGGTTGTCCAGCCTGTGCTGGACATCTAGTTGTGATGAGCCGAACTGCCTGTTTTCTGCCCGCTGACATAAAGGAAATCCAGAGAATTTGCTGCAGTAGGTCTTTATGATGTTGTAGATGTCTGTTAGAGGGGATGAGTCCCACCTCCGATGTCTTACTCTGGCCATTTGACTACCAGTTAAGGGATCTAGAATGAAATAAAAACTTGTTCAGAGTCATCACTGTCACTTGACACTAATGCGATGCCAGATCCCTGTTGCTGGTCTGAAGTGTTCCTCGGTGAATTTTCCAAGCGCAGTAAGTTATGCCTTTTGAGCAAGGCTTTCTGTTTTCTTTTTTTATTTTTTTTCCTCTGGTTTCGTATCACTTTAAACAATTGGGATTATTGGAAAGCGCATCTGGTTTTGGAGGCTGTCCCTCCGAATGGCCATGCACATGAAAGCAGCTTGCTCCCCTTCTTCAGAATGAGCTTTGCTGCATCACACGTTCTGCTCCCAGCACCCAATATTTGGAATTCAGTGTGGGACAGATAATCCGAGCTTTGCTTTAATAAACCTTGCAACTCCCGGAGTGTGAAACTACTGGCAATTTCTGATGGGGTGCAAACTCCAGGCTGTTACCTTATTAAAATCAAGATTTCGTGGGTGCAGGCGGGGTCTCGTAAAAGGGTGAGAACCTCCCTGATGGAACGGGAAGGGGACGAGCAGATTTTGAGATGGAACTCTGTCTCCAGTTGACTGGGCAGATGAAATAAATTAACTAAAAATACTCATTCTTCTGAGGATTTCCTCTTCGACCTTGTCTTTACTAGGGGAATTTTGCAAACTGTTGTGACTGATGATGGTGCAAAGTCTAACACAGGTAGACCACTTAATCTTTGCAGAACTTAAACTGCTGTGTTTTCTCTTGCACGTAGGGCTCATCTACCATGTGACTCCTCATTAGCTCTTTGAAAATAACTGTGCCTTGTCATTATGCATGTTTAACGTGCGGTTAATCAGTAAGGGCTTTTCTCTGTAGAGTTATTCCTGATACGGCGCATCCAGAGCACGCACCCGTGGATTTAAGATCATTTCCGTGTCTACTGCTGTATTGTGCAAGGGACTCGGATCCTGTTGGTGTGTACAGTCGAGGGAGGGAAGCGTTAGAGCATCTATTACAGATTCCCCGCGTCAAATCTGCCCTTCTGTCTCCATTGACTGTAGGGAGGTGGTTGCTGGCAACACAACGGAGTAGGCGGTGTGAATCTGTCAGTGCTCTCCTGACCTGAGACACCCGAGGCCAACTTCAGCGATGTAGTGGGTGGTCTGGATACTGCCAACCGCACTCACGTAGGGTGGAGCTGGCTGCTTGTTTTAGTAGCGTTGGAGCCTGCTGTAAACAAGGGTGAACGATTTGTAAACATGGTTTTCTAATCTAGGTGAAACTTTGTGTAGAGGGGGAAAAAAAAATCCCATCTTTGAGTCCAAGACCATGAAATCTTTCTGTATTTAATAGGAGGGAAGTTAATCTCTTAAGAATATCTGGTACTCTTTGTACTGTTTTTATAGTGGCAGGCGTTAGCTGGTAGATTTGGACTGGATATATTCTTTAAGGAAATACTTTTTTTTGAAAGCTATCTCTAAGCTGCGATTCTGCTGCTAAATAAGGAATGCTAATGAATGTCCTGTCAACCAAAGATCATATATATTCCCCAAGAGTCATTCCAGTCTCTAGCTCCTTACCGCAGCTTTGGTTCTCTTTAAGTTGTGGCAGTCTTTGATACCCTCCCTCAAACGTCATAAGCACGTAATGTTTCTGTATAACTGAGTTCAGTTCCTGAGTTCAGGGTTCTAAAGCTATCTGCTGTAGGTGGTGAGCAAAGTGGTGAGTATCTCTTCCTCAAAAAATTGTAGAAGAAACAGAATCCTGGGAAGGAGGGATGGAAATCTCATCCATCAGTCCAGTGTCCTGAAATGCTGGTGCTGGGAGCACTTGCGAACGGTCCTGGAGCAAATTCCTCCACGACCATGAAGGACATCTCCATGAAGCAGAGCCTGATCTGTCCTGGTGGAAGGTTGCAGTGGCCACAGACTGGAGAAACTTGTCCATCGCTGCCTGCTTAGGTTGCTGGGCGGATAGTGAAATATGTTAACAGTGCTCTAACGCTCCTGCCCCCTTGTCCTCTGGGCTTCTTTGGTGCAAACCCATGTATGAGCAGGTTTGGGTCTTGCACCCGAATTCGAATGGTGGCAAAACCCCTATGTAGCTTTGAGCCAGTAATATACAGCAAAGCTGATGTAAAGGAAGATCATCTATTACAGGAGACCCACCCAGTATAGGCTGACTATATTTAGAGATCATGGACCGAAATCTAACATAAATTGAGCACGAATCTGGAGTCATTCCACGTGCTCCAGTGAAGACGCTTTGGATTCACGCTAGTGTAAATGAGGTCAAAATCTGGCTGCTTCTCAAAGATGGCCGGAGAGATCGTGAATGAAATCCCCAGCAAAAACAGAGGCTTGCTCTCAGAAACGAGCCCCCCAGCTGGCAAGACTTGTCAGAGTACTGCAGCTATTGAAAAATGCTGCAGACAGAAAATGAATTAGAGGATAAAAAAGTGAAAATGAGCTGGCAGAATCTTTAGGTGACTCATCAGGTGCATCTTGTAAAGTCTCTTTCTGAGAAGTAATGAAATCGCATGTTCTAACAATATTTGCACTGCAGCAGGAAAATGCATAAATATTGGGATCAATTAATGAAATTAGATAATTTGACCAAAAAAGCCATAGCGCTGGCTCAGAAACCATCCCTCTTCCTTTTTGCTAGTCTTGGTGCTTGCAGTCGGAGAGGAAAATCTCGTGGTTTTGTTTCACATCTAAGATACACGAGACCTGGGCAGCCACAGGGTTACTGGGACGCTTTGGGTAGTCACCTGCAGCTCGAGGACTTCCACTTTCACCCCATGGAAGTTCTCGAGCTGGTGGGCAGGCGGGTGCAGAAAAGCCCTGGTAGCTGTCTGAGCATGCAGCCTCCCACCCTTTGGATTTTAGGATCGGTGAGGGTAGACACATCTTGTGTCTGCCAACCACAAAGATTGTCTCTTCATGTCCCTCAGCCTCTGTTTTTCAACTGTAAAATGGGGAATAATGATTTTCCTTAAAAAGGGAAGTTTTCCTCAGGAAAGAGCCCTGTGGATATGTGCATCAGCCTGTGACATTTAGATATCCCAGTAACTCATTGCACGCGGTGGAGTTCATCACGGAGCTTCAATTCCGGAGCGAGAGCTGAATTTGGAGTGAAATACTGGGGTTGCTGGTATCAGTGGGTCAATTTATGCTATTTATAATAGAGTAATTGCTTTATTCCAACAGTATTTTGATAGATTTATATTTGGGGAAGGCACTAAACCTCGGGTGAAGAAGAATGGCAGAACGGGGCTTAATTTATACCATAATCATGAGAAAACCTTAAGTGTGAATGCCTGTATTGCAGAATATGTGCACAGCGCTTGGGTAGGTATGCTGGTGGGTAATCGTGAACTCTCCAAGCAAAAAGAGCTATCGCCGTCTTCGGATTTATCAACAGCAAGAGCAGAACTCATCAGGTTAGCCTACCCTTGGCTTGGCACTGCTACAAGTGTTGTTGGAATAATTTGTCTGGTTTCTGGCGTCCTCGATTCAAGAGGATGTTGACAAATTGGAAAGATGTAAAAGAGCCACGAGGGTGGTTAAAAGATTGGCAAACGCGCCTTGCCAACGAAACAGCCAGTCTCCTGGCTCGGATGAATTTTGTATCTTTTTTTTTTTTTTTTCTTTAAGCGAAGGTTAAGGGGTGGCTTTAGCAGCTCCGAGTACCTGCGTGAAGAACAGAAATAGGCAGCGCTGGAGGCTGTCAGACAGAGGTGTAACAGCAAGCCAGTGCCTGGAAGTTGAAGCCAGACTTGAGCTGAACAGAACAGTTCTTAATAGTAAAAGCAATTGATCTGTTGTTGTATTTTACAGGAGCCCTGGTTTTTCATCCTTCTCTAGAATTATATACATCAAAATGGGGATTTTTTTTTTTTTTTTTTAAGATTATAATTTGCATTTAGGTGTAATTGATGGAGGAAAGCCCCCTGGCTTTATTAAACAGGGGGCAGACTATGGGTTTATGCCAGAGCATCTCTTGATGTTGTGCACCTACTCATTAGCTCTACCTGCACCTCACATACGATGTTTCTTCCTCGGTGCTCATAGATCTCCGCTGTCTGAACCAGATTTGAGGTGTTTTGATGCTGCTGAACTACAGTCAGTAAATAACAGTAGGTGCTCCTGAGAGTTTTAAATGAGATTTTTTCCTCTTTACGAGCATTTTTCGGTGCGTCTCCCTTGTGCAAAATGAAAACTAGTGGTGGCTTATTCTGAATCCAGGTTTTATTTGAAGAGATACTTCTTGTATTTCCCTGCAGGGCTTGCTCCACCTTTGTTCCCCAGCAAGCCTCGATTTCCGCAGGAAGCTCGTCCAAGGAGAGGCTGTGCTAAATTTACCTTGAGATCTACGTGCGGCAGAGTTACCGAGATAATTCTTGATTTGTAAAGCTTATAGCAGAGCGTGAAGTCTGGCTGTTGTTATTCTTTCTTACCATTCGATATAAGAAAGAATATCTTCTCTGCCTTGCTGGTCTTACTGGCCACACAGATTTGAAGGAGCTCGGTGTGTGTAAAGGATCTTTAAATACACCCTGGAAGGATGCAGAAAATGAGTCTGTTTTAAAGCAGTCCCTCGCGTTCGTTTACTACAGCAGCTGAAAGATGAATACTTGGGGTTTGGTATAAAACTGCACTGCTCGTTTTTTAAATGCAATGTTCTCTCTTATTTTTCTAGCTGTGGGGAGCTCAAAAAATAAAGCAGGTAATACGCTTTTTTTATATCTCATTATTGTTTTCAACTATTGCTGCTTTTTTCCTTTTTGCTAAGCGATGCCGTCCCCTTCTCCATTATTGACTTTGCCAGTTGCTGTTTTGTCTTGCCACAGAAATGTAAATGCAGAGAACACTGTTGCCACCAAAGAGTCTGATTTTTTTTTTTTTTTTTTTTTTTTTTTTTTTTTTTTTTTTTTTTTTTTTTTTGTATTTATATATTTTGATGTCTTCATTTTCTCCTTCCTGTCTAGTCAAGAGATTTCTTGTCTTCAGTCTTTTGAAAATAGTTTGACAGTTCTTTGGTAAGGCTTGTAACTGTGTCGTACCTTCCTCCTCTGCAGTCCCAGATCGCTTGGGGATTGATTTTTCATCCCCAGCCAGTTAATGCCGGTGCAACCTCCTGGGCTCACTGTAAAATCCGGTAAAAATGGGCCAAGTGAGCTTCGTTGTGTGTTTATCGGTAAAACAGATTTAGGATTTCCCTGGAGGTTGGGCTGTCCACAGCCGCCAGCGTTGGCTGAGAAGCTGCAGATGCACGTAAAGGTTGAAATATCTGGTAAATCCAAATCCCGTGGCATGTGAGGAGATTTTATCTGGGTGACCCTTATGGTGACAACCAGAGTGGGCCATGCCTGCCCGTTTTTATCCCAACTCAGCCGGATCCTGAAGCAGCATTTCAGGCTTCCTACGACGTGCTGTGCGGGCTCACGCAGGCATACCTGCAGACGGGGAAGATGTTCCTCTTCCTCGGACTGAATCCGTCAGCCGTGGCTGAGCCACACGAGTCCTTACGAGGGTCTCCTGCCAGCCATTCGCTTCACGAGCAGCATAAAGTGCTTTACAGCCTCGTTCCCTCCCGAGCAGGCAGTCCTGCCCTCCCCGTCCCTCTGCCACAGCGAGGGCTTTTCCTTTCTTTCACAGGGCAGAGTTTCAGTCAGGACATTAAGCTGCACCTCGGTGGAGATGCTGAAAACAGGCAGGGACAGAAAACAGGTTTCCCTTTTCCCCTCCTAAATCTGCATTCCCCCCCCGGGCTTAAGGTACAGCGGTGGGTGGCCTCTGGGGACATTACAGTACCGAGAAAGAGCCACTTTCTATATTTCAGGTTAAATTATTTACTTCTAAATTATTAACTTACGCTAAATTATTTAAGGAGAGGGGAAAGCGGCGGGAGGAGGAGGTTTTGCGGAGGCTGCCGAACAATGACTGCCTTTGGACGGAGATGCAAAAGCCAGGAGGGTGCCGAGAGGCACCGAAGTCCCCCCGTACTCCCTGGTTGAAGGTGCTATTTGCAGAGGCTGAGCGCTGGCTTCGCTGCGCCTTGCCAACTGTTGCTGTGCCTTCACTGTGTCTGTTTGCTGACTGTTTTACAGGCCATCATCCATCCCGATACAAACGAGACCATCTTCATGCCTTTCCGAATGTCAGGTATGGTATGTCCTGATCAGACAATCCTGAATTTTACTGGGGGTTTGTACAAAATGCTGTGTTTTTTTTTTTTCTCCTGTTTTTGAATTGCATCTTGTCAACATTTAGGCCAAGATCAGAAAGTAATTCAAATGCCTAAATCCTTTTGCAGTCAGGGAGAATTGGGATCCTAAATGCCTATGTGAGATCTAGTGCTTAATATTTTCCTTTCCTTCAGGTATTTTAACATGGACTGAAGCTAATGTCTTTTCTGGCATTTTTGAGGTATCTGTCACTATAATGGGCATTTTAATTTTGTAGTAAATAGCGAAGCTTGGTGCCCAACGAGCAGCTTAGGGTTTTACTCTCCAGGAGAGAACGGGATGAGCCCTGTTTTTCCATGTGGTACCTAATAGCCATGGCATCGGGAGCCCACGAAGGATCAGCTTGTCCGTGGCTTCACCAGGCTGCTTAATTATTAAATTGTCACCTCCTCCTTCCCATTTTGGGGTGTCCTTCTGCCATGCACAGGTCCACAGCTACCTCTACTGTGGGCTGAATAGCAGCTCTCTTGAGGATGCAAGTGTAGCCTTGGTCCTTTCCCGAAGGACCTATTTAAATAAATAGGACCTTTTCCATATTTTTTGGGGGGACTTCTTCGCCTGAATACTGGGCACAGAGGAAAAATAACAGGGTTGGCGGGTTTTGTTCTCCAGTTCTTTGAAGAAGGATGATGTTGAGGGTGAAGTGGAGGGGAGAAAAGCCAGGACCCACTGCTTTGCTGCCTTGTTCTGCATTTTTTAAAAAATTTTTCTTCCTCTCGGGTCTCTGCCCTTTCCGACTGTAAATTGGATCCATGAGGCTTAATTCAGTAATATTGGTAAAATGCTCTGAGACCTTCTAGTGGAAGTCATAGAGATGAATTATAATTAGCACAAAAATTGGCAGACTTAGCAGGGGAAAAATGTGAAGCATTTGATTTTTGTGGCGCTCAATAAGATTTGGGGTAAAGGCTTATCTCTAATATAGAGAGCTTTAACTTACACCTATGATTAAAATAATCCCTCTCTCCTCCATGATGCAAATATACTTTCTTCAGCTTATACCCTGTTCCTTTTTCTACTGACCTAGAAATAAATGAGCTCTCCTGGTGTAAAATCACTAGCGGAAGGGTTGATAAAGCAGATGGTGAAAGAGGGAGGTCCTACCTTTGGTGGCATGGTCCTGCTCCTTAACTGGCATGGACTCTGCAGCTTGTTAGATGGCTTCATGAGCATCTTCAGCATGCTATCCTGGTGGGACCAGGCTCAACAAGAGGGGAAGGGACACAGAAAGCTGGAGAGTTTTCTCCTGGGTTAGCGAGGGTAGGTTGTAGGAGGGTCTGATGAGCAACAGAGCTGGCACGAGGGAAGGAACAGATTGCATGACTGAGCCTGGGAAGGGGGGCAGGATGTCCCCCTTTCCGTGGCAGCAAGCCACTAGGTCAGCTCAGTTAGCACCACCGTGGCATCATCCAGCTCCTCCTGGTCCGGCCTGAGCAGCTCCTGGTCTGAGTTGTCATTCCTTCGCTTCTGCTGATTTGAGTTTTTGCTGGCTTGCCTAGCCCAGCTCAACGACACGATACCCTCTGAAGTGCTAATACCACGGTACTGGCACGGACTGGGTTTACTGGAGCAGGCTTTAGGGTCTAGATGTTACAAGTTTCAGGGAAACTCTTAGGCCGCAACCCAAGAAAAGCAAATAGAGGATGGGAAGGAGATTCGGCAAAAATCAGGAAGGAGGCTGCTGTAGTTGATGCTTGGTGCATCAGGTGTAGGTCCACAGATGTCCCCGTGGTGGTACGGAGCTGCTGGAAGTGAGTGCAGCCCGTCATGCCAGGGGTGGCTTCTACCCTAAACTGGTAGATGGCTTAGATGTGATTTTTTTTCCATCCCCAAACTGCGTATTAAAATGCATGCATCTCTCTCTTTTTTTTAATAGGTTACATTCCCTTTGGAACACCCATCGTAAGTATTTTAACATCTCTCCCCGCTTTGTTTGCGAGTACCAAGAAATGCATTTTTTAGCACTCGCAGACAATTCTCCAAATTCCACCTTACCTCCTCGCGACGCGTTCACACAGGGTTCCCACCTTTCCCATCGCACGTTAGCAAGGGCTTCGTCATGTAAAACCTGTCCTATGGACATTGTGCTTGAGGTTATTTATCTATTCAACGTCGTTCGCCCAGTCCCCTGCAACGTCTTCAGCGTTATCTTTCCCTTCTGGAAAGGGAAGACCAAGATGAGCTCATTGTCTGCAAAATACAACTTCTGCAACTCTCAGATTTCATCTTTGGACGCTTTTTTTTTTTTTTCATTCGCATGTTTTACAAGTCGCTTCCCAAACATGACGAGGCGAGGCCGGCGTCGTGCGCTCTCGTCTTGATTAATTAAAACGGCGAGTGCTTTCTGTGGGGTTATTGCTAAGGCCGTTTTTAGTTTGTACTTGTTATTGTGAAATTTGTAAGCATTTGGGTGCTCTCGATAGCGAAAGCCAGAAGGGAGATAATTCTGCCTGTCTTCCTAATGCTGAAACCTCAGCTCGTCTTCAGGGACAGGAACGATTAATTAACCACATTTTATGAATGGGGAAACTGAGGCAAAAGGTTTTGCCCCAAATCGCCCAAAGTTGGTACCAGGAGGTAGTTGGTCCTCCTAGCCGCCAGCTCTTGGCTCAGCTTATTAGATCACAGATATTAAAATGGTTGAAGGAGCAAAATCTGCTAAATTTAATCTTCCTAAACCCAGTGGACCGTGGCATAGTACTTGCTTAAAGGTAACGGTCCTTTCCCAAACGGCGATAGCGGGGTTGCTAGCACCTAAAAGCAGAAATCATCGCGGCTGTTACTATTTGTTGTCTTGCGTAAGGGTTTGGTGGTAACTTTGTATGGGGCATTTTAAAAGAAAAGGTTAAACAAAAATGAGTTAACGATCAAATTGACAATGAAATCGGCCCAAATCCAGAGCTGTCAGAGGAGCCGAGAGCTGTCAGATGAGCCCAATTTCACTAGCTGTAAAGGATAAACTGGAACCTCTTGTCATTTAAAAAAAAAAAAAAAAAAAACCCAAACGTTTCAAATGTTAAAATTAAAATGTAACATTTATGCCAATCGATCTGTGAAATTTAGTGACAAAATTGGCAGCCTGCTCTAGCATAAAAACAGTTTGAGTCTTGCATTTCACATAGGGGGATGGGATTTCCTCAAGAGAGACTTAATGTGCCTGCGGTGGGCTCTGGCTGAGCGAGCGTGGCTGTCCTCGCCCGCAAAGCCGTGCCAGCGTGCCGTTGCACCCGGGCTAATTGTCCCGGTGTGCGGGGGTCAGTTAAACGCCCTGCATAGATTCCGGCAGAGACGTGATCAGATTATGTATTAACAGGTTTACTGCCTATCAGTCAGTACGCGATGCTGCCTGTATACATGTTGGTCTTTTTTTCCCCTATAGCTAATGCAAAATAATTCAGTATGGTTTAGCTCGTTGTGAAAGGGATTAAGGTCTTGCTGAAAATAATCGTTTCTTTTCTGGCCGAAGCAGCTACTCCCCTGACACAACCAAATCCTGTGGCTGTTTATTCTTTCCCCGAGTTGCAATCATTTGCTTTTCTTTTTAGCCTCCGTCCTTTCCGTGCTCAGGTTTACGGTTCGACCCCAGAACCGGTTGCAGTGGCAGAGTGGGAACAGGATGGAGTATATGTAGGTGTAGGGAGAGTTTGTGTTTGCCCACCTAGATTTCAGCCCAGGAGGGAGCAAATCCAGCCGCTCGCATTATCTCCCTTTGCTGTAGGGGGGAGATGTGCAAGGCGGCTGCTGGGCTGCCTTTTACCCTAGGTTTGTGTCTCATCCCAGGGATGAAAGGCTCCAAGGAGGAATATTTATCTGCATTTAGGAAATTCAGCCCAAGACTCGGGCAGCGAGGATGGAGCAGAAGCTGTGCTGCTGTTCCTAGCTGCCACCCACAGCTTTAAGCACCTCATTTTCCCCAGCCCTTTAAAAATGGGGGGGGTCCTGTTGAGGTTTCGAAGTGTGTAGAGAAGACCCGGGTGTTAATACGGGGTTGCAGATGACTCTCGCTGACACACAAGGCGGGACTCGGGGCTTGCAAGAGGAGAGCTCGTAATGCAAACGCGCCGTGAGGCTGCTCAGAGCCGACGGATGTCCGAGCGGTGGCTTTAGCCCTGGCTTTGGGGCCACGAAGGGCCGTTCACACCTGATAGGCAATTAAATTTTGTAGCTGGTACTTTTCTAGTGTTTAGAAGCTTTTTTTATTTTGTTTTCCTTCTTAGTTATTTTTTCCCCTGACAGTAATTAAAAGTGAAATTGTACATTTCTTGACAGACTCTTGCACATATGGAGAGTTTGCATTTAAACGTGCCTCTTTCAGTCATACAGATTTTGGGTGCTCTTTTTTATTTATTTATTTTCCTCATTTATTTTTCTCGGCGCTCAGCTTCAGCTGACAATGTAAGTAGCTGCCTGCAGTCTTCCCTTTCCTCCGGAGCCTCATTAGCCCGCTGGCTTCAGGGGCGTAAGTCAGTCCTGGGGTGAGGAGGTTCATCGCCTGTTGAATTCGTTTGGCTAAGACCGGCAACAGAGTAATTAATGACAAGATCCGCATATTGAATGGAAGCAGTAAATTAGTGTAACTTGCACAGATTGGCGCTCGGCCAGCGTACAAAGTAGCTGTAACTTCACGAAAGGCTGTAGGAGGAAAAGCTGGAGGAGGAGGAGGAGAAAGGAAAGAAGATGTAAATGAAATCAGGCCTCCCAACCCTATTACCCTTTTGTTTGTTGTTATTTCTCTCATGTCCTTAAGCGTAGAAGTTGCCTCCTCTTCAACTGATGCTGCCGCAGATGTGCAGAGACGGCCTTAGCTTATCCCTCCTTGCGGCAGGTTCTCTGTGCTCTAACAGGGAAGTTTTCTTTCTTCTCAGCTTCTGTAGGGATAAACTTAAAGAAAATGGTGCAGAAGACGGCCTGAGTGTGGGAACGAACTCAGCCTTCCTGCCCAGATGCCTCGAAGACGTTGCAGTTCACACGAGTGTCCTGAAAGTAAATGTATTCGGAGTTAATAGGAGTTGTTCAGTCTTTATACTCTTAAAAAGATGCAAGTGTGATTTTGCAACAAGAAGCCCATCTTCTTCAGAAACTATCGGACATTTAAGGTGCAGGACGGGAGAAAAGGACAATGACGTTAGGAAGTATCTCTTCTTACCCAAGAACTCATCTTCCTGTCCATGTTTGTTGGGTTTATTGTTGAGAGTCCCATTGCTTTGCATCCCTTTCCTCTTCTTCAACTTCTTATGCTTTAAGAGGAAAGATTGTCATAAAACAAGGTAGGAAGGAGTCTGGCAGTGCTGCGTTTTGTGTAAGAGATGGGGCCTTTAAAGAATTGCAGAGGGTGTGCCTGTGGGGTATATTGAGACGTCCCAAGGATGCTCTCAGGACTGTAGAGGCAACATACGCGTGTGTGGCCTTGGGTGCTGCGATGGGTGATCTTGCAAAGCCTGTGGCATCTCGCATTCACGCAGCAGCAGGCAGCACCTGGCCAGATGTGCTGGGACAGGCTGCCGTAAGCCTCTGGGAGACGGCGATCGTCAGCCCGAGCTCATAACCCAAGCAGGAGTTTTCGCAGCTCGGAGCATGACACATCAACAATTCTCTTCTCTTAAAACAAAATTCAGGGTCCTAAACAGGAGCACATGTGCTTCCAGGTGACACTCTGGTCTTCAGATGTTCAAATCGGATTTCTTTCTTGTGCTTGAAACAGCAAATGTGCCAAAGGAAAATAAGAAAAACCCCCTTCGCTGCCAATAGTAACAATTTTGAACTCTTGCATTTGTGTGTTTGTGTTATCCTCCAGAAATACCTGGATGAAAGAATTGATTATATTTTAATGAACTAATCTTTGGAGAGTATCTGCTGCCAGACTCTTTTCAAGGTGTGTTGCAAGCAATAGTTAAAGATGCAAAGCTTTCACGGGCAGCTACGTTACCCAGCTTCTCCACTGGAAAATTGAGAGACAATAGGCTGAAGGGAGGTTCAATAACTATAATGAAATAAAGCCTTAAGTGAAGATACTTTATTCAAGTCATTACAAATAAGCTCGCTGTTTGCGGGCCTAGAAGAGCACTGAGACCAAACCAACAATGCATTTGCTAATGAGAAAAATCTCTTCTCTTGCAGGTTGTCGGTCTTCTCTTGCCCAACCAGACGCTGGCATCCACTGTGTTTTGGCAGGTAACGCTCGTCTGAACGGGTGGAGAACGTGGTGGAAAGGAAAGCAGCAGCTGACTTGTGAATAGAGGACAAACTGATGCACATGGCTTTTCTGCGCGGGCAATGTTCTAGTTAATGGGGAGATGATGTGGCTGGATATAATTAGGGAAAGGTTTGATAGGTCTGGAAGGGGCTATAAGCAAACGATCGGGTCTGCTTTCCAGCACTCGGCTATTTATGCCATCGCAAGGGAGATGCAAAATAGCCCGGGATCTCAAAATCACCTTTTTGGACCCATTTTGTACAGGTGTAAATGATTGCACAGTGTGTACTTCCATGAAAATGTAGGCCCTTAAGCTCACTCATCTGCTGTTTTGAAGACACCCTGTCAGGTAGTTGGGATCTTCCTTGGTGAATTCCTGTTGGAAGTGCAACGTGTGCGCAGGGCTGGGGGCAGGGGGAGGCTCCGTGCCCAGGAATTTTGGGAATAGCTGTGTGTTGCAAAGGCAAGGACCTCTGCCTTCAATGCGCTACAGGGGGTTTGGGGAAAAAAAGTGTGTGTGTAGGGAGGTGTTGATGTTATTTCCCATTAAAATCCTGGGAATTAAGAGTAAGCGGAGGAAGCGTGCACGTGAATGAGTTTTATCCGTAGTAAACACCCCACTTAAGTATAATTTCAGCACTAACTGAAATGCAAAAACAAGTTACTTTCAGACTTATTTTTAGTTGCAAATGTCTTTCTATTGTCTACAGTGTAAGTGATGATAGAGAATTATGCAGTTAAGAAACATCAAAGCAGAATGGGATCTGCCTAGTATGTTAGAAAGACTGCAGAACCGAGAATATATTGGTACGTGCCAGTAACTTGTGGTTTGGTGTATTTAGCTATACAGCTAAGGAAGTGAGGGAAGTGATGGTGCCCCTGTACTCGGCCCTGGTGAGGCCGCACCTCGAATACTGTGTTCAGTTTTGGGCCCCTCACTACAAGAAGGACGTTGAGGTGCTGGAGCGTGTCCAGAGAAGGGCAACGAGGCTGGTGAGGGGCCTGGAGAAGAAGTCTTCTGAGGAGCGGCTGAGGGAACTGGGGTTGTTCAGCCTGGAGAAAAGGAGGCTGAGGGGAGACCTCATCGCTCTCTACAACTACCTGAAAGGAGGTTGTAGCATGGTGGGTGTTGGTCTCTTCTCCCAAGTAACAAGCGACAGGACGAGAGGAAACGGCCTCAAGTTGCACCAGGGGAGGTTTAGATTGGACGTGAGGAAAAATTTCTTTACTGAAAGAGTGGTGAAACATTGGAACAGGCTGCCCAGGGAAGTGGTGGAGTCCCCATCCCTGAAGGTATTTAAAAGACG